AAGAAATTTAATATATATTTTTTAATGAAAAGTGACATGTGCTCTAAAGATCAGCACATTTTTGTATTCTTTGAACTTATAGAAGGAAATACATTGTGATTATTATTTTTTGTGATCTTTCTTTAGATGGCCATTATTTCAGGTTTTCTTTATTTGTTCATCTGCTATAGGGGCTTATTATAGAAATCACCCGTGCTGCTTTATACATATGAATATATCACATATTACATGTTTTATGAATGTGTGCATGTGTATATACACACACACACACACACACATATGTGAAAATTTAATAGGTCAGGTTGCACTAATGTTGTACTCAAGGAAAATTTAACGATATTGATTGACCAGCACTGTTGATCTTAAACCAGGAGAAAACTTTCAAATTCCAAATTGTGATGGTGAGTGAGAATGTTTAGTGTATCCACAGTTACGTTTATTTTTAAATATACCTTGTTTCTTACTCATTAATGCTGGCATTTTCTCTGTAACATACTTGCTTTTACAACCCAGCCTTTAAACTTTTGAATATAGAGTCTGTGTTTTTCTCATCTTCGTACTTTCATATCATAGTTAATTACTTGGTTACATATGTAGTGTAAAAGGTTGTGATTATGTTTGCATACATCTTTATTCTATTCTTTGAATCTAAAATTTTTGTCTGTTCCTTATTTCCCCTCTGTTAATTGAATGATAATGATATAACAGGTATTACACTAAGTAATAGTCTTATTATCACATTGAGATAAATGCTACCATCCTCATATTGCACATCAGAAATTTCCAAGAAGGTTTATGGCCACACTATCTTGAATGTGCCTGGTCTTATCTGATATCGGAAAGTAAGCAGGGTCAAGCCCATGGGCCTTTCTGTGAGGAGCACCTAACTTTCTTAGAGATGATGGAACAGAAGTAAAGGTAGCCAACATTTAGCAGGATATTCTGTTGTTGTGCTGCCTCTGCTGTGAGGAAGAACCAGCCCACTCCAAACACTGCCTTATCCATGGGTATAGGTTGGAGACACAAGTGTGTCATGGTTTGGAATTCTTACAGTTTCTCACATCTCTTTCTTAGTATTTATGATATTGTATTTCATTTGCTTTAATAGATCAGTTAAATCATTCATGACTCAAATTGAAGTAATTTTATAAGCTTCAAACCTGAAGGACTGATGGAAGACATTTTTAAAGTAAAAGTTAAAGCAAAAGTTGTTTATTTACTGGAAAGTACAGTGTCAGTGTTAACACTGTATTGCTCTTTTGGCACCAAAAGCGATTTTAAATATTTCAGGCTACTATAAGTACTTGCAAGTCAATTAAACAATCATATTGTAAAAGACAGCAATTTTTATAATTGAAAAGTATTTCTTTAGATGGTCAGGCTCTCCATAGATAGACCGCCTGGGCGAGTATCCTTCTAGCCCAGTCTGGCCCATAACCAGAGTAAAGCCATCCTCCTTTCTGACATGTGTCTTTGGTGTCCACTCAAATTCCTCACTGAACACATTCTAAAATGACGTTCGCCTTCTAGCCAGCTCATTTTCTCGCAAGCCAGTGAACTTCTCTTTTACCATTTTCTTTAAGACTCCATATCTACTGCATTGGAAGTATGGTTAGCTCTAGTCACAAGTACCTCTCCCACACCTGATCAGTTCTGTTCTCTGCTGCATTATTGCAAGAGACAGCTAAGTGACCTCTCCCCCTCCCCCAGATATCCTATTAAAATGTAAGCTAAGTCATCAGTTTGTTTACATGCCCGTAACAGCTTTTCCTTCATTATGAAGGCTAAGGCTGTATGGCTTACAGAATTGTGACTCTCATCAATATGGTCTGCCTCCAGCTCTCTTCTCTTACATTCTTTATGCTCCTACAATTTCATGCTTCCTTCTCAGGGTTGTGAGAAGACCTCTGCGCCCACCGGCAGATGTCTGTGGTGCCCTTCTTCCTGCTGCCAGGAGGAGAAAAAACAGTCAGGAAGGCTTCTTGTCTGTATCTTTCACTAGTTTTTCTATTTCCTAAGGTGGGAACTTTTGTTTGATCACCCGTATACCAAAGCTGCCTAGAATGCTGATTGCCTATTGGTTGATGCTTGATAAGTGTGAGTAAAAGAGATGCATGAATGATTTGTAGTGTCCACGGAGGGGGAATTTTCATAGACAGTGCCACCTACTCTTTTCATCAGCTATGCTTGTGGGACGAATTCTCCAGGAAGGGGTAGCATTAATGGTCTGGGTTCCCTTTTAGGTGTAGAACCCAGGCAGTTAGTGACCAGTAAATGTTCTTTCAGAGCATAAAGGCACAAAGACATGCATATTTCTAGGAAGATGGGCATTTCATTTGGACAGCTTTTCAGATTAAGGGTTGTGTTTTAATTTATTTCTTCTGGTATTTACATTATAAGTTAAAATTATGTTAAATATGTTAAAACAATAATGTTTAAATGGCAATGACAGGTTGGCTGTATTCAACAGTCTCATATTGCTGGTATTAGTATATTTCCATCAGCTGGTAATTTTTTTTTTAGTTTTGGTGCTAGAACTTTAATTGTTTTCCTTCTTTTTTTTTTCTTTTATTATTCATATGTGCGTACAAGGCTTGGGTCATTTCTCCCCCCTGCTCCCACCCCCTCCCTTACCACCCACTCCGCCCCCTCCCTCTCCCCCCAACCCCCTCAATACCCAGCAGAAACTATTTTGCCCTTATCTCTAATTTTGTTGTAGAGAGAGTATAAGCAATAATAGGAAGGAACAAGGGTTTTTGCTGGTTGAGATAAGGATAGCTATACAGGGCATTGACTCACATTGATTTCCTGTGCGTGGGTGTTACCTTCTAGGTTAATTCTTCTTGATCTAACCTTTTCTCTAGTTCCTGGTCCACTTTTCCTATTGGCCTCAGTTGCTTTTAAGGTGTCTGCTTTAGTTTCTCTGAGTTAAAGGCAACAAATGCTAACTATTTTTAGGTGTCTTACCTATCCTCACCCCTCCCTTGTGTGCTAAAGCTTTTATCATGTTCAGCTGGTAATTTTTGTTAGCTCTTCCTGGATTATAGTTTTTTAACTGAGATTGATGTTGAAACTTTTGCACTACTCATTCTTTAAGCCAAATGTAAGAAATTGGTATTTAAGTCAAATTTTGGATGAATAAATATTTTGCACTTTGACGTAATTGAGATATGAATTAGTACTAAAAACTTAACTATTTTACCCATAATAGTAAAAAAACTGTTATTCCTCCAAATAATTAGCATTAGAGGCATCTACAGGGTAGAAGAGTTCCCTCTCTGTTTACTTTATTCCGTGTGCAATGTAATATTTTTGCTTCAATTCCTTAAACATTTTAATTAATGATTTTTTTCTAGTAAAAACTGTACTGGTTTCTGAGTTCAGAGCTCTTAAATTATACTTGGTCATGTAAATAAGCTGTGCTTTGCAACTTTGGGTTTTTAACCTTTGCTCTTTGCTGTTAGCTTTATGATTTTTTAATTATAGGAAAATGGAGGACAGTAGGGAAGTTATGACTTAAGTGGACTGTTGTTATTACTATATTTTTTCATAAAATGAAAAATGTTTTTTATTATTCTAAATCCAGAAACAAAACCAGATTATTTTGTACTGTTAATATTAATCACAGTTTGGCTCTTTAAATGTTGTAATTATCTTTCCATTTTATTGATTAATGTTGTGACCAGTTTTTTATAATTATAAAGCATATATTGTACATAGTTGTTATTGTCTACTGTATCTAAAAGAATATTATTTTCATTGTGTGCAATTATATTATTTGAATAGTGAAATAACAATCATTTAAAAAAGTGAATGCATTATCTTGTCCTTAAAACCAAGGCTCCCTAATAATGTATGAAAATAAAATAGATCAAGTGTGAAAAGAACAGAAGCATTCATAGTTTTAGAAATTGTTTTGTTCTTGGCTTTTGTCACATGTTCCTTCTAAGAGGCTACAGTACTTTACAGTCTTAGCATTGCCCATTTGTGCAAACATGTCCAGATGAATTCAGTGTTTAATGTTAAGAATCTTATAACATGCCAATTTGATTTGTAGCCCTTCATATCATGGAATGCTAATTAAAATCATATTTTTGCATATGTCATGCCTTTCATGTACATATGCAAATAGATTCTGTTGCCTTTCAGCTATTAGTAATTAACTTTATGAAGGACAGCTGTAATACATAATTAACAAAAATGTTTGCAAGCCCTTTTACACTGGAAGTTGCAACAGTAAATTATTTTTTTGCTTATCAAGAGAGCCATTTTAGTCTGATGCTTCTGAATGAAATCTAAATTGTTTGAACTAATCACATGACATAATTAATTCAGTGGAAGAAGAGTGTTTTATGTACCTGCTGCAGATCCTGTACATTCCATGGATATGTCAGCAATATTGAATTATGCAACATGAATTGTGTGTAAAATAAAACAGTGTGTCAGGTAATACTTTGTTTTAATTATTGGTATCTTCTTGGCACTAAAGCACAATTTTTTTGTGTGTGCTGTAGACACAGTAAGCATTTATATCATTTTTAAAAACCTCTCTTCAAATCATCACCATGTTTTTAAGGAAGCTTCATGAATAGTTTCATTTTCTTTCTTATAGTCCTTTAAATATTTAATAAAATGACATTTCCTCAAATTCATTTCATGATTGAAGTGTGAGATCAGCTAGGGGGCACTTGTGCCTTATACTGAGATGCTGCTGTCTCTTTCGTACCAGTGGATGGTGGAGACAGTGACTAAAGAACTTCAATCATCGCTTGATCTTTCGGCCACTGTTAGTATTCCCAAACCAGAAAAGGAACCTGGGCATTATATGCTGTTATTTCTTTTGCTTTCTAAGTATGCAAGAAGAATGTCATTTTAATATGCATTTTTGTGCTTTCTTCGTATACATATAGAAGTATATGGGTATTCTCCTTTAAAAGTGTGTGTACAAGTTTTTAGCAGAGTCAATGTTAGTTTTCTAATTGCTTTCATTTATTTTTTAGGGTTGCATTTGTAATGAAGAAGCACTTAAATACTCATCTACTAGGCAAACATGGAGTTGGTACCCCAAAAGAAAGGTAATCTCTATTTATTTTTTTATATTTAAGAAATACAATTATTTTTCACTTAGGCTTTTTTAATGGGGAGATTTTTATAATTTTTGTCAAATCAGTTCATCTTGTTTTATATTCATAACTCTGTTGTCAAATATTAAATTTTGTTTCATCTTCCCAAAAAAATGTACTGCCATCTTTCAATTTAAAAAATGTAAGTCAAGAAATATTTGAAAGCATTTGGGGTACTTTGACACAACCTTGAAACAGTAGAAGAATTAAATTGGAAGGAGTTGTCTTCTGTGAACAGCTTACCATATGCTATAAAACAAGTGTGTAAAACCAAACTTTATCTACTTTTTCTGTATTTATTTTGAAGTTTTAAAATAACATTTTTGATTTATTACTGTAGACTTAAATATTGCTGATATTTAAAAAGATACATCTTGTGTCATCTCCAAAATAATACTACAGTTGTCACGTCATGAAAAACAACACTACAATTAGTATGTCATCAACTGCCAGGGATTCTTTTTCTTGCTACTGTATCATAATTAGTTTCATCACATAGACTTAATTATATTAGGTGAACTGAAATATAGTGGTGTCAGCTAGCAGGTGTGCATGGCTACTCTTGAGCATTTTTTTTGTCTTTAAAATGTGCAGTTCACTAGAAGGTAACACACATGCACAGGAAATTAATGTGTCAATGCCCTGTATAGCTATCCTTATCTCAACTAGCAAAAACCCTTGTTCCTTCCTATTATTGCTTATACTCTCTCTTCAACAAAATTAGAAATAAGGGCAAAATAGTTTCTGCTGGGTATGGAGGGGGTGGGGGGGAGAAGGAGGGGGCAGAGTGGGTGGTAAGGGAGGGGGTGGGAGCAGGGGGGAGAAATGACCCAAGCATTGTATGCACATATGAATAATAATTAAAAAAAATTTGCAGTTCATTCAGAACTAGTGCAGGTACTCTTACCTTCTATAATATAGGGTAGATTTTCAGCTTCTCTTAAATCCTCCAAAAGTAATATCCAAAATTCTACAGACACTATGCAAGTTCTTCTACCACTATGAGCCCTGAGGCCTCTTCAGCCATATTTGTAGATACTTAATAGCATTTTTAAACTATTAAAAATGTTCTTATCACACTTTGTCTGTTTATAAGGAATTTAGCATGACTTTTAAGGGAGAGTATTGGTCTCCTTAATATTTAGTATGGACATAGACTCTACTCCTGTGACTAAATGTCCAGATATCCTGTGTGGCTTCTTTGTATCTATGCTTTCAGTTTTCCATACTTTTCTTTGTATCTTTGTATGTAATAGTTGTAGCCAAAATATGTGTATATTGCAGAAAATTCTGTGCTTTGTAAAGAATAATTTGGGACTTGTTAAAGATATGTTTCATACTAATTTAAGTTAATGGAAAAACATTTTTAATTATTCTTTTTACATTCACATGCATTATTTTAATCTTTCTCTAGCCTTATTAAGCAGTGCATTATTAGTGTTTCAGCGTTATAGATCTAAGGAGTGAGAACCAGAAAATTATGATAATAATTTATTCAGTATCTCATATCTAGTAAATATTGGTATTGATAACTTTATTGGGGTTTGCTACATTTAATTCCAAAATAAAGTTGAAAACAAATCTTGATTGCTTAATTGGTCAAAAGAAATGGTTTGTCTACTATTCCTTTAAATCCTATAAATTTGGAACCCAAATATTTAATTTTTGTTTTTCTTTAGGAATCAAAAAAATTGAAGTGTTTGTTCATGTTGTTTTATATCTAGATAAAAACCTTATATAAAAATTAGTTGCCACATATGCATACATTTAAATTCCAAGCACTTTAAAAAGAGTAGATATCCCCTTTTAAATTATGAGTTTGAAAATCATGATCTTACTGCTTTTTTCCATTTACTGTTTCCTGTGCATTCTGGTCCACTTTCCCTCATTTCAGTCCCAAATGCATAAAGTGTGAATAAAAAAGAAGCTAGAGAAAGTGCGTTAACTTTTCCTTACTTTGAAAAAAATACCTGAAATAATCAATTTAAAAGAAGGAAAGACTTATTTTGGGTCTCGATTTGATGTTTCAGTGTGTTTGTTTGTCCCTATTACTGTAGACCCCTGGCAGCTCAGTGCATCATGGAGCATGCACATGGCAGGGAAGGCTTGCTTGTTAACTGTATAGTAGTCAGGAAGGAAAGAAAGAGACAGAAAAGGGCCAGGGTCCCAGTCTTTCCTTTAGGAGCACAGCCTTAGTGACATAACTTCCTCTCACTATGCCCCACCTCTTGAAGGTTCCACCATGTCTCAGAAATGCTACAGACTGGTTACCAAACCTTGATCACATGGGCCTTTTGGGCACATTCCAAATCCAAATGATTAACAGAAAGATTGAATGAGTTTTTCCTTTCTTATATATGGTGCACTTTCTCAGGCATTAATACGAGTTTTTTTTCCCTACATTCAGGAACTGGATCTCAGATGGGAAAGAACACTCATCCATTGCATTATTAATTTTATATATTCCAAATAATATTCATCTCTGAATTTTTTTTCTCTTAAAAACTCTTTGTTTTAGATGTGCTTGTGATGTCTATTTTTATGGCACTCTTATTAAATAGAAGTGCTGAATCAGAATTCCAGGACATCAGTGGCAATATAATCTGTATGCGTCTGTAACTGGAGGAGACCACAATTGAAGAGCTAGCACAAGAAATGCCAATAGGCGCCTCCTCCCTTTTAGTGATTTTAAAATGCAAGGCAACTGTCTATGCTGAAATTTCAGTTCACAAAGGATAACTATTCTCTGAGTTAAGTTACTTGTTTTTCTTACCTATTTGAAACATTAATGCCTTGGCTATAATTTTGCAAGCTTGCTGTATTTTAATTTCTTCAAGACAGTATAATCGGTTTATTTTTTTATGTGTTGAATTTGATTCTCCCTCTAATACATTTCATATTATAGCAAATAGTAATATTAGTTAGCTAAATAGGTTTTGACAATTCAGTTCATAATGCATTTTGTTTGCAAGTGTTTAGGCCTTGTGCTTTGACTGATATATGCAAAAATGATAATTTATTAAAAGTAAATTCATCTACTTGTATGATAAAGTTTGATGAACCAATAAATTTTGTCATTGTGACCATTATTAGAAAAAGAAAGCTAAATATTTCCAATTTGTTTTTGAGATCCTTGAACACTTAAAGTGATAGTTTCTGGAAGAACATTTTTTAGCCCTAAATTTGCATTAACTTATACAAATTTGCATTAAGTATTTACAAATTTATACTATATATAAACTTGTGTTGGCTTATATTATATTACAGTATTTCTGAGATCTTTTATATTTAAATACAACTGAATAAAACCACATCCAATTCACATTTCCAAATAATAAACTAATTAATTTGCAAGTTCATTGTAAACTATTCCCTGTTTTAAATGAGTAATTCTTCCTTCTATATAAGTGATCCAGAATGCCTTTATGGCTCTTTCAGTTCACTCATATTAAGCTACAAAGTGAGTTTTTGCCACAAGTGGTTTGGTCATAGCAAGTATATCTCCTGTGAACAACAGGTCAGGTGCATATGACAGTTTAAATGGATACCTTGTCTAGTTTAGTGCCAGTCGAATCAACTGTCTTTGAACAGCTGCCCAAAGAGGAGGGAAATGGTTCACTCTGGATTTCCCATCTGATACTGTTGAGTAATGGCTATTTAGTGTGTGTGGGGAATGGGTGGTACACCATCAGGAAATGTCTCTGCTGTTAGTACTTTATGGAACCACTTTACCAATTAAAAGATTTTGAATTAAGGAGTACCTAATAAAGTATAAGCATTAAATAATTTCATAGCCAGATGAAATGTTCCTGAGCATTTTATGAGGAATATTCAGATCAAAACCTAAGGCTCTTTAAATTGAAGCCATGTAGGTATCTTTTGAGGTGGTTGCTGAAAGACAATGCCTTATTGTTAGCTCAGCTGTGAGGTGAGTATAGGCCCTAGGTTGGGTCAGCATTTCTGTTCGGGATTTCTCCTAGGCAGCCTTTGGGTTAATAAGCCCTGAAATTTGTGCTCTCTTTTATCAGACATTTTGGATTTAGGGTTCTTTTAACACCTTTGATACTACTGATAAGTGAAATCTTTTCCCCACCCATGCTAATTGTGGGATGGAAAGATCAGTAGCTCTGGCACTGTGGCCTGAGGGCACTGTTACAAGATGGGTCATTGTCTAGGGTTTTAGAAGGCTGCTTTGTTTCTTCCTTTTTCTCTCTTCACTCAGAAAATTTGTATTTGCACACTTAAATTGTTTAAAACATCATCATTGTTTTTTGTTTGTCAGGTTTATATGTAAGTTTCATCCTTTTTCATAAAACATGAAAATATCATCTAAACCCCAAACATTTCTGGGAGAAGCATGTTGGCATGTACTTTCTTTGGTGGTGATTAAGCCTGTGCAAAGCACACATAGATTTGATTAGAAATGGATACTATCAATCTCAGAGAAAAATAAGGCATTTTACAGACTTAAGTTTTTCTGTTAGAAGAGCTTCTATTCATAGTGTAGAATTTGACTCCTTTTAAGGTACAGTTGTCACTTTTATTGTCCATTTTCAAGAAATAACTTGCCTTTGACTAAGTTACTCTTACTGTGTAGAGATTCTTTTATTAATGGACCATTTTCCTCAATATTTAACTCCATAGTGTTTTTCTGTAGGGTAAATATTGTTTCTGGTTTCATTGAAGTGAGTGGCTTGTTCTCAGGGTTTTGTTGGTGACATTTCATTCCATATGATATGACCCTCATAGGATTGTTCTGGAATGTACTTCATAAAACTCTTTTCGGTCACTTATATTCCTAGACTTCAGGCTCTCCCATCACCCACTCACTACTTACTGGGCTCATTTCACTCCTTCCTTTCCATCTGTGGTTTGCAATCATTTTTCTTACCCTCATGAGAGCTAATTTAGGAAGAATAAAGTGTTTATGGACTCCTATCTGCTTTAAAAAA